TACTTGTGCGCAGAGCTGGTAACATGTAGTAACAATTGGCTGTGTAAAATAATGCTTATTATAATAATATGATGCTTATATTCAGTTGACTTTCTGCATTTGTTCTCTTAACATCTAAATGAAGTTGAGTTGATTGCAATAATTTCGCGATAGGAAAAACATCAATTTAAGAAGTTGATTGATGACAGATTTCGGATGATCTTGATGTGTAGTGACACGTAGAAATGCGCAAAAACCTGAAAGAGTATAAGAAGTTGCGGAATTTTATGAAATTTTCGTTTTAAATCCTTTTTGCGCTTTTGATTATCTTGAATTGCTATTAAGTTATTTTCTCAATAATTAAATTCTTTAGATACAATTATTCTTTAGATGCATTTATGTATATATAAATGAATGCATTGTTGTTTAAATCCACAGAGGTATATAAGACATATAACACGAAAGAATTGTATAACGAATACATAGGTTAGGAATTATCAGTGAGTGATAGTGGTTTGGGGGTGGGAGGATTTAAATTGAAGGACCATCAGAATGAAGATGGAACGGCTATAAATGCATCTGTGTGGAGGGCTATAAGTCTTTAGTGTAAACGCTATTTTGTTTCTATTTACACAAATTGTTAATTATTCAATATATTTTTTGGCACAAATAATTTTATATTTTATCGAAAAAATTAAACTATAGCGAGCGTCGCTTTTTTGTGTATTTTCTTTTTAAATGTCTACTGCATACTAATGCTGCCATCCTGTATTGTGTCTTCTGGTCTTTTTGTGTTTTGTCATCTTTGTGTGATGTCGCCACAAGTCCACTTTTATATATGAGAGGGAGGATATTACTGCACATAAAGGCATTGGAAAGTCCATCTGTGTGGCTTCCAAAGAGATATTGCTTAGATAACTATTGGTTATACCCATAACAAAAAGCATTTTCACAGAGTTGTGGGGTTCTGCTATTGAGTCTTTAAATCGAGTATGGCACCAAGGACTTCTTTTCAAATGTAAAAAACTTCTGCCACTTAACTATTATACATTCATAAAATCGTATCTGTTGAAAAGACTCTTTTATGTCAACAATGAGAATGAAATGTCTTCTTTATATCATATTACAGCTGGAGTACCACAAGGCAGTGTACTCGGTACAACCCTTTATCTGCTTTTCACATACGATTTACCGAAGACGATAGGAATTGTAACCGGTACATTTGCAGATGATACAGCTATACTGGCGAGTGCAAACGATCCCTCTGTAGTCTCTTTCAAACTACAAGCTGGTCTTGATCATATATCAAAATGGTTGCAGTATTGGCGCATGAAAGCAAATGAAACAAAATCTACTCATGTTACATTCACAATGAGAAAAGACACCTGCCCGGAAATTAAACTTAATAATATAATAATTCCACAATCAAGCAGCACTAAATACCTGGGCATGCAATTAGATAGACGTCTGACATGGAAAACACATATTTTTAACAAAAGGAAATCCCTTGGGATTCAATACAGAAAAATGTTTTGGCTACTGAATAAAAAATCTTCAATATATCTAAAGAATAAACTCATTTTATATAAAAGTGTATTAAAACCAGTATGGACCTATGGCATTCAATTATGGGGAACTGGCTCAACATCTAACACAGAAATTCTTCAAAGATTTCAGTCTAAAACTTTACTAGAAATAGTAAATGCACCATGGTATGTAACTAACATTCAAATCCATCGGGACCTTAGGATAATCCCGGTAAGAGATGAAGTAAAAAAGGTAGCTAGAAAATACTATGAACGAATACAAATTCATCCAAACATCCTTGCTTCGAATTTGATGTCCCCCTCAAATATATTTACGAGACTGAAAAGGAAAACGCCGCTTCAAATTTTATTATAAAAATCAAATTTTATTATAAAAATCTTAAATTAAAAAGAAAAGAGTAGCTCTCTACAGGAAGAACTACTTTAATTGTATATTATCAAGACTTAAATAGTATTTATTAAAAAAATTGTGAAATGTCACCATACTATGTGACAGAATACATATTGAATTTAAATTAAATAAAAAAAAGAACGGCAAAGCACTCTTGTCCGATGGTTTAGCACCGGAACCAAGTTTACCCACATACAATCGCACATATTATCCACCCGTAATAAAACGTTTTTGATATACTGAGAACCTTTTAGCCGAATTCAAAGAGGGTATCATCACAAAGCTCTGAAAAATGGACGATTTAACAGAAAGAACTAATTGGCGAGGCATTACTTTACTGAACATAATTAAATAAATAATAGTGCGTGTCATAACTAACAGACTTTTAACAGCATTAACAGCAACACTATGCGAAGAAAAAGCTGGATTCCGACATCACAAGTCTTATATTGATCACATAAACAGCCTAAGAGCAATCGTTGTCTGTAGAGTGGGGATCACCTCTCTATTTATTATTTATAGACTTCGTAAAGGCCTTTGATGCATTATGTCACACCGTCATATGAAACGCACTTGCTCATAAGGACGTGCCGCAAAAGATCATCCCGCTTATCAAAGCTTTATACGAGAATGCCAGTTGCCGGATACTGCTCGAGAAATATCTAAGCGACAAAATACTTATAAAAACCAGCGGTCGACAGGGTTGCATAATATCGTCGTTGCTGCTCAGCAGCGTACTGGACGTAATCTTGGCAGAGGCATTGGTCTTTGAATAACCACGATAAACAGAGCGGGAATTAAAATCAATATTGTCAAAACAAAAGTTATGCGCATTAATGCTAACGTCCAAGATCCATTTATTATAAACAACTGCTATCTTGAGGACAAAACCAAAGTCAAAAAACGCATATGGGGAGGCCACACTTTACGTAGCCCAATTGGTGACACTACAAGAATGGCGATTGCGTGGTACCTGGTGGGTAACAGAAGAAGGGGCAGACCTGCACACACTTGGAGAAGACAAATTGATATGGTGTAATCGTTACAAGTAATTTTTATTAAATCGCCAATATTTATTAAATTTATAAATTTATATTTATTCCTTATTATAACATAGATTACTATTTTAAAAATAAAAGAAAGGTTGTATGGTTGGAGAACTTGGTGTGCTTCTTATGAGTGCATTTCTTGTTCTGATTTTTATTTGAATTTTTACTTTTAACTTAATCTAGGTACATAACGACGCAGCGTATGTACTTTCTTATTTATTAAATGTTTTATAATTATTATATATATTTGTGTTATTTATTTTAATATTTTAAATGTAGTTTTATTTAAGTACAAAACGGCGCAGCGTAAGTACTTTTCTATTTAATAATTTATTGCTAAGTAAGCGTCTTTGATTCAACTTGCCTCGAGTACGCTTACTGTTGATGTTGTTGTATATGCGGTCAATGCCTGGCAAGCATACGGTTAAATCGAAAGCAAAGTGCCGCCGATATGTGTGGTGTCAAATTCCTTGTGTGTGGAATTATGCATTTGTTTGTAAACAATGCAATGCGCTTGGAAACAATTAGTATATTTATATATACACTGCGCATTCAAATATAGAACCACTTATTATTATATTAATAGTATGCATTGCCAATATAACTATCGCATATACATTACAATGGAAATATCACATACGGAAAAGCTGGGGAGAGTTGAAGCTACTACTGAGTGGAAGATCTTTAATGCGACCTTATGTTCCTCCCAGGAGTTAAAGGATTCAATATATATATGCGAGACTGCGTCAAAGATCAAGAGCTACTAGCACTATGTGTTCGCAAGTGCGACTTTGTTTGAAGTCATTGGAGATTTGGGTTGTGATCTTACAAAAGGCAAATGTGATTCTAGGACGTTTTCTAATTTCATGTTGATGGAAGGCGTGTCGAATATGTGGCGATATCTGTTTTAGGATCCAGGACTTTACAACTTCGGCTACTGAAGATAACAAACATCTCGATCTATACGATTCACAATTATCTGATTTCATAAACTCTGTAATGATTCAAGTTAAATTTTTAATTGTTTCTTCAAATGATCTATAAGGATATGTTGAGATTGTAACAACACTTTTTAGAGTGACGTTCAAAAATATAATTTTTGCTGCGGTATCCTCAGCCGTCATCCAGGGTCATAACCACAAAATTTATATTCGCTGAGACAGAGTTTTGATTGATAGAAAAAAGAAACGTGGTATTAAATACTTTATTTACTCAAAAAAAAAAAATTGCAAAATATATTTATAATACATTTAAACTACATATAAATGCTTTGCATGAGCTGATTTAGGTGTTTTCTTGTTTGGAACACCCGAAGTCGTGTTGGTTAATGACTGTTGCGTGTTGCTTTTTGTTCCATACATTATTGTGACTTGTTCTTCGTTTGGCGATATGTTATTTAAATTATCTTTTTTATTATTATTAAATTTAATTTTATTTGCAATTGCTATTTCACAATTTATTTTGTATACATTTGTTTCAGTTGCTGGTTTTTTTTTTACGGATTTATTTGCAGATTGATTATTTTTTATAGTCTTCTGAATTCAGCATTATATAACCATTTAGGCCATTTTCACTAATCTGAGAACGCACATACAATGTTTTGTGATGTGTTATCAGTTCTATGATATCTAATATAATCAGAGGCGAGGCGTCGCTATTTTGCTACTTAACATTTTTTTAATAGCTTTTCAAAACTGATTAACATAAACACAAAACGTTCAATACAAACAAAATCACACATACATATGTTAGTTACACCCAACATTACTTATAATGAATAAAAGAGAAAACACATTCCTTTTAAAATATACTAAGGTTCAGATTAAAATCTGCACCGCGCTGCTTACAAAGCATACAAATGAAATAACATTCACATTGGGACTATGTTCAATATTGAATACACAACACAAAACATACAAACAAATATAAAAATA